GCAGCGAGGCAACATGATAGCCCTAAACTAATGTGAACGCTGCACACAAAAAGGGAGAACAATATAGTTCCAATGTGGATGTTTCAGCATTTTAAAATTGCAATATGGGGGCCTCCCCATTAGCTCAGCTCTTTAAGTGATTGCTTAAACAAAACAGTCAGGCTCAGGATGCTGTGGTTTGATCTGCAGAGCCTCAAGCCTTGCAAGACCTGCCCTGAAGGCATCCTGAGCCAAACCAAATAATGATGATGATGATGATGATGATGATGATGATGATGATGATGATGATGATGATAAATTACAATAAAAAATAAAATTATAATCAAGTTAAAACCTAAAAAGTTTGGTGGTACTAAGGATTGAACTCAGGACCTTGCACTTGCCAGGCAAGCACTTATTCCACTAAGCTATCTTCTTAGCTCCCAAATCCTAAAAAGTTTGAACAAAAAATTATTTCAGTTAGCAGTTAACAACAGTTATTATTATTTCCCTTAAAAGTCAAGGAAATTTTGTGAAAAAAATATTTACATGGTTTAATCCATATGATGGGCATCAGGTCAAACAGAAGCTTGTGATACTGTTCAGCAAGCAGCCCACTGTAAAGAGAGATGGGCAGAAGTCACTGTTATTTCTGAAATTTGTTCTCAGAGGAGATTGCTACTTGGATATTAGCTTTAACATAGGAGAAGAAATATTGAAAAAGGGGGGAGAGAGAGGGAAGGTGGGAAGGAGTGGAGGGAAGGGGAAAAAGCAATGAAGAATCAAGAGAAGCAGAAGAGAATGATGGAAAGGCAAGATGCCACTCAGTGAATAAATGCCAGTGAGGTGCCACCCATGCGCAGGCCCTGTGCCGCCCCTTCTGACTCGCACAGAGACTGGTTTTTTTTGTTTTTGTTTTTTTTGGTAGACTTCTAAATGTGTACCATTTCTTTTTCTTTTTTTTCTCCATAATTTTATTCAGAAATTAATAGCAATGAGACAGTTTCAAATCAAATTGGTACGACAGTTCCAATAATTAACACATTGTATACTGTTCCTAGTGGTTATTTGTTGTACAAAATGCAGACATGATATCCTATTTAC